AAAAAGCTCTTTCGTTCCTCTTTCGCCTCCTTCATCAACTCCATCTTTTCTGTTTCGTTCTCCTCACGTTGCTCTGCGTAAGATGACAGGAATGTCAACATCCCTGCAGCCGAAGATTTTGATTTTCTTTTCCTTTTCCGGCGTTTACAGCCACTTCCAGTGGTTTTTTGTTTTGTTGTACTAGAGCTCTCGGCCGTGAAACATTGGTCTTCATCATCTCCACTTTCCTCGGAGTCTTCGTCTGCAAGGACGTCTGCAGTGCTGCTGCTGCTCTCCAAAGTGAACTTCGGTCGTACATTTGGATTTCCCCCGATACAAGACTCCATTTCATGGAAGTATTTCCAAGTTTTCTTGTCGGCTCCTGTGGTGTTGTTGTGGTCTGTTATCTTCTTGTGGGAAGCTTCAAGCTTGAGCCACTTACGACTACACTGCTCCCCCGTGACCTTCACGTCAGTAGAAATACTATTGAACTCATTCGCAATTCTGTTGAATATGTCCTTTTTGGTAGCTTTCCCTTTTCCGAATTCAAGCCTCTGCTTTTGCCAACAACTGACAAGAAGTTTTATGTGAAAGTCCTCCCATCGTTCAAGCATTGAGTGTGATAGACCTGTGAAAAAACATACAAAATGTTTAAACTGAAGTAGCTTGTTACAGCCGCAATTAGGAATAGTGTTAAAAATGTCTAAATGTACCTCCATCGTCATCTTTTTGGGCGTCTTGTTGCAACCCCACCGTTTTTTCGCCTTCTCTCCTTTCTGCCATTTTTACAACAACATTAATTTTACAGGTAAGTCAGTGAGCGCCCACTCACAGGACATTGGAAATGGCGGGAAAAATCTCGCCGTCGTGCAAATGGAACGGCATGTTTCCGTTCCGATCGGTTGCAACGAAAAAAGTGGAGCGGCTCCAAAGGTTGTCCGTCTGTTCTGGAAAATTTCCTCTGGAACCCCGCGTTCCATTTGCATTTCAACCGGTTGAACTGGAAATTTTGGCTAAATGGAAAGCACCCCAGGTTTCACATTGTCTGCCTTTCTTTGGGAGGCAAAAAATTCCAGCTTTGAGACAGACATGAGGGGTTTGTTCTCGGAATCTTTTTTATACTACTACATGGAAAGTTTCAGCAATTTGATTGGTTTAGAGTAGTGGTATTTCAGCTTAATTTGAAATACCTACACGTGAAAATGACAAACCTTTTGCGGGTAGTAGTATAAACAAATAATAGCATGATTTGTACGTGTATTTTGCACAAATACCTATCGTGATATTTCAAAATTGTCCCTAATTTTCTCTACACTAGTGGAACCCTCCATGAGCACGTATAGCCAGAACACCGTATTGATTATCCAGTAAGAGCCTATATGTTGTGGTTCATTTTTCAAGTCAGTTTCATTTTTTAAAACTGGTTTATTTTTTTTGAAACTGGTTTTATTTTTTCCAACTCGGACTGAGAGTATGCTAACATGATATGCTAATTTATAAAGACAATAGAAAACTTCTTTTACAGTATATTGCAATTTTTATTGGCACATGACAAATTCCCTTCAAAATTGTAGCTCAAGGTGTTCAGTCCTTATCTCTGAAGAAACGTTGATTATTAAAAACAAACAAGCACAGACCTCCTTTCGGCTACAGCAATTCTTTTCATTTCCATCTCCGAAGTAGGTTTCACCAACAACACCACAAATCCCACATATAGTGTCATCAAGGTTTCTCTTGGTTATCATTTCAAAGTGATAGGAACCATTATAGAGAAGGTCAACAACCTACTCCCGCGACACAGATACCTTCTGAAAAACACCAAATATTACAGCTAAATTGAGCAAGGAGTTACATTACTCGTAACAATTATTTAAGGGAAATTTATAAACAAATCAACTGAGGGAATCAATAAAAATATGGAAAATTCAAAATAAGCTGCAATAAAATATGCGCTTACAAAAAATATATATTTTATTACGTCATCTCATGAGATACCTTAGTAGCTTTCCGTAAAATATTTGCCAGTTCGCTTTCAATAGCAGTGGTCAGGGGCACACCCCTTTTGAATTGTTCCCTCAAATCAAGGAATGTGTCTATAGAAACAAGGATTTTATCACTGATATTGATCAATCCTGGAATATAATGAAAAAATAGACAAATAGTTAAACAAGTCAGCCTGTAAATTAAAAACAACATAAAGCCTTAGTAATTTAGCGGAAAAGCTCAGACAAGATGATGGAGGTCATGTAATTAAACCAAACCCAAACTTTTATCACATATTACCCCCCAACAAATTAAGTTTTACTGTTGTGATTGATTAAAACAAGATTAATTTTTATTTACTAGTAAAGAAAAAAAAAAGGGGGGACTTATTAACTTCCTTCCCCTGAAACGAGGGGTTTACTAAAATAAATAAAGGGGAGGCAAGCTAATTATTTGAGAGATGAGGCTTAATAGGGGTGTTATGGTAATATTTAAAAAGCCCATAAACAATTTTCAACAAGAAAAAGAGTCCTACCAAGGTCATATGGAAAAACTTGGTAAAGGCCTTTACACTTTCCACATTGTTTTACAGAAATCTTAATTGGCTCCAGAGGAACACAATTGGTAAGAAGATAGCCTGACTCTCCTTCCATTTGTCCAGGGTGTGGACGCGAAGCCTTAAGTGTAGCACCACGTAACACACACAGTTCTTCTGTAGGGCTATTGCTTTTAGGCCAGCAATCTCCCCCAACCCCCAAGGAGATAAATCTACTGTCCATCTCTTGAATTCTTATCAAAATGTTACTGGGTATTTCATAAGGAAGTTCACGTTGTAAGTTGATCTTCACTGTAGAAGTACGCATGTCAGACTCTGTTGATTTGGGGAGAGATGAATTGTTTTGATCAGCATATGTTGAGCCAGCTTCATGTGGAACAGAACTTTGTGACAGGTCATAAAAAGACGTTGCAGAAGGCAACTCCAATAAACTCGCAGTGGATTGAGCCAAGGCATATCTACACAGTGGGCAGAGGAAGAGATAACTGGTTTTGAGGAGTCCGGAAGATGAGTAAAAACAATAAGGTGTAGAAAATGACGCCGCGCTGTCATGCTTAATATGATCGTTCAAAGTAATACCATGCAGACTGCAGTCAGTAATTGGGCGGGATTTTCCTGAGTCCTTTTTCGGTACACAGCTGTTAGGGTGAACACAACACGGTTTAATTGGACCCAGAGAGATGCGCCCTAAGGCGAGTTCTTTTGTGAATAAACTATCCATTTCCGGTTTAAAGTCTGGGCAGGTAGCACTAGAGTAATTGTCGGATTCGTAGGTGACGATACGAGAAGGGTCGGACTCTGGAATAAGCTTAAAACCAAAACGCAAACGATCAAGGACAAAAATTCTATTGGGGTCGTCAGAAAGTTCCTTGTCCCAAGCGGGGAAACGTAAAGGACAATCCTCAAGCGGGGTATAGAAAAATTTGTTGAAGTAGGATGTGCAAAGGGTGCTGACAGAACATTTTCCTCAAGCAGGGACTGTTCTAAAGAATCGGTTCATTTTTTGCTTTTCTCAGCGTTCGCGGAACCCGAACTCTTGCCCTTATGCTGAGTAGAGGAACAGTGAATACGAACGTGCTTGTAACGACACGACTGTTGATTTGGGCAACCGGTTGGGTTAAAGTTCCAGCGAAAACAGAATTCTTAATTTCCTGACCTGCGGCTATCTCTGTGACTTTCATTTTGGGGAGGGTGCTGTGCCGCGGCGGCATCAAAATACTGCGCACTGAGGTCATCTTAATTGGTGCCCCCCCCAAAATTATCCCACGCTTTCGTGGCACGGTAATCTTGATCAAATGCGAGGATGGCCTTGGTTTGAAAACAAGTGCCTTTTATAGCCAAAAACTTCAAGTAGGTGAGGTAATCAGCGGCTTCGCGAGGACTCTTGGTAAAAAGCTGAGCTGTTTACCCTCAGGGCCAAAAATAAAGTCTGAAGGCAACAAAGGCTTACGAGATGGCCCCAGTGAGAATAGTAATACATTCCCACTGGGAGCCCTCACTCCCAAACGGCCCAGGCAAGGATAAGATATGGGAAGAGGCCAGCCCTACGGCTGCTACTCCTGAAAGCTAGGCAGGGCGGTAAGATCCCAACAAAATACACAGATGACCGTAACTCTCCCCATAACTCAGAAAGCTTAATTGCAAACTTTACAACCTTCAAGATATGAAGTCTGAAAACAGTGAAAGGCAAAACGAATACAAACTATGGAAAAACCAGACTGAAATTCTTCAGTTCATTTACATCCTGGTAAGAGGAAATAGCATCCTGAGTAGCGGAGGAAGAAGGCTGGGATGAAGCAGTAGATGACAAAACTTCAGCTGTGTGACCGGGTTTTACAGTCTGCTCTAAGTCATCATAATGATCTACCATGCTAGTGGAGCACCAACCTATGTGCTTGGATATCAGACTTAGAAACTCCCAACAGTTCCAAAGTAATAGAACATCGTGCGCAAAGGCTGTGGGGAATTTCGCCTCTGCCTAAGCCAGCATCCTTAAGATACTGTTAAAAACGATTATAAACTGAAGAACCAATGAAAGGTTTATCAGAAATTTGGCCAGCTTTGCTGGTAGCACGGAATAAATAGCCTTGAGAAATATCTACCCTAATCAAACAACAGATATTTAGATACAACATAAAATTACGCACTGGACAAATATCAGAATTACTAGAACTCCTTATGAAAAACAGTGTGTAGAATTTCCCCTTAATGTCTTGCCAAAAGTATGGTTACAGAGTAACCCGAAGGAGTCGGGAAAAAGAAGCACTTCTTTAGACTTAGTTCTTCCTAGGTCTGATGAACGGTTTCCAGAGAAAAAATTAATGCAAAAGAAACTAAGATCCCTACTGAGGATATACAAAAGCGAAGGCAAAGTGTAGGGCTTTCTAAGTTTAGACAGGATTGAACGCGCTATAGCCAAAAATTTATTTGTAAAAAGGGAAACGGCCTTACAAGGCTGTACTCGAGCCTGGGTTTGCTCTTCTCATACACACTTCAAATAAGCTTTAACAGAGGGATGAGAAATGGGATTTCCAATACCTAATCGGTCGTCCCATTCCCCTCCCAAACCCTCCTCAACAAATATGGACCTGAGTTTCCCAATTAGGCTGTCCACAGTTCCAGCAGCCAACCTGGTTGGACATGAACAGGAGACGCGCTGGCGTTGGCCAAGGCCTACACAATCCAAAAGGTGAACAACGGTCTTCCCTGAGTTATCCTTCCACACCAGAAACCTCTTAATGTCGGATGGAGAAGCGGAAGGAAGAGCCTTTGGAACCGGGAGAGAAGAAAGAAAATTTACAAGTTCCTTGTGAAGAGAAGACTTCTGACGTTCATAACTCTTGTTGGACTTTGCTTCAGCCAGATGTACCAAACGATCATTGATTGCTTGAATGTCGATCTTTAACCACTTAGAAGGATGTTGGGAAACTGAACAAAACTGGCGGACACCGCACTCCTGGCAAAAGTTGAAATCGGCATCATTAAGGTAGCCACAATCAAGGCAAGGAGCTGCTGGCTTGCAGATTCTAGGTTGCTGAATCTAAAGAAAGGACAGACGGAAGCGAGTTGGTAATCCTAAAAGCATACAAATCCCAAGGTAAAGGACGTGTGGAAAAAATGTGGTGCGGAGATGGAAATAACACGATATCGTGATCAGCTTTACGGCCCAGGACGACAAAATGAGATGCCCTTGTTTGAATAAGAGGCCTCCAATATGGTAGAGGAGACAGTTTTGGAACCACAATGGTGAACGAGAACAAGGCCTTGTCAAGAAAACGAAGAGGACCAACTAAGATGAATGGCGGAAAAACATATGTGTTTTCTTGGCTGGCCACATCTTGAGCAAAAACATTAACCCTGCAAGAGCCTAGTGTTGGAAAAGGCGTAAAGTGAGGAAGCAGTATTTGTATTTGTATTTTTTTTTTTTACTCCATCCTGTAATACATTTGTTGTACAATAATACGATAGTTGTACAGTATCAATAATACATTAGTTGTACAATATCAATTGGTACAAAGTTGCTTAAACTACTTTTACATAATAATAATAATAAAAGAAAATTAGAATGGTGAAGGAAGCTGTGAACCAGAACACCCAATTTGAGCATTGGAGTCAAGTGCCATCAAGTCGAAGGTGTGTGGGCCAAAGAGGTTTTCTAACTCCTTCCACGGTTCGGGGACAAGCGTGCAATCCTTATCAGACAAAGCGCGAGAGAGAGCATTCGCCTGGTTGAGAGGAGGGGGCACGAACTGCAAACAGGTGGAAATATTCTGGGCGAGAAGAGTTTGGAACAATTCCTTGAGGGCATCGTTCAGCTGTTTACTCTTGCCCCCCTGTCTTTCCCAGGCTTGGATAGGCGCTAGGCAGTCCACATGAGCGTCCACGCAACAATTTGAAAGAACCAACTTTCCAGCTTTAAAAATGTTGTCAAGTGCGAGGGCTTCCTTTACCGTAATAGGTTTGTCTCTGACATCGTCTCTCCAAATATCTTGAGTCTCCAAAGGTGGTTCGGAGGGATTGTAAACTATGCCACCCCACGCGTACTGGGAAGCGTTGTTTTTTCCCTTTTCAATTGCGCCACTGAACAAAATTTGAAGAGCCTTCGTCTGGGCGAAAAATCATAACGAGGTTTCTTGCACGGGGGCACCTAAAACAAAAAGGACAACGTAATAAGCGCCAATGAAACATGATATAGAAAAAGGAAAAAGCCAACCGCAAAGCAGCCCCGAAATACCCTGTCCAGGGACAGAGCAATTAAGAGTATAAGAAGACCCCTTGGAAGGCATACCAGCGGTAAGCTTAGATAGAAAAAGACAAGCGAAACAAACAGAAAGTAATTGACAAAGCAAACTTTAATGTGGCGTGAACTTCATTACAGAAGAACACAGAGATAACTAACAATGCAAACGATCAAAGGCACTGAAACTCCAATATATAGCAAAGAAACGTCACTTTTTAACAGCCTTGCAGACTAATAGGCAATTCCTAGCAAGAAGACCAACTTTTCTGCAATTAAAACAGCATCGAGGAAAGGTTCCCGGCCGGTAGTACTGCGGCCTGAAACGTCCAGTGAGTTGGAGTTTGCAAGGGGGCGACACTGTTTAAAAATAGCATCAAACTTCTTGCATTGAGGTTGGTTCGCCTCCCTAGCGTGGTCTGACAGTTGTTCCAAGGCCGCAAGGAGGGCGAAAGGATCGAAAAGTGCGTCAGGACGAGAGGCAAGGAGTCTAACTTATTCAAAGGACTGATTTACTTAGGAAACATTAAGGGTCGATTGCAAAGATTCTACTGTTTGGCGAAGGTCCTCATAACCCTAGGAAGGGATAAAGAAAAAAAGAGAAAATAGTGAAAACTCCACGCGCAGGTGAAAAATCTTTTCACACAGACGCAAAGACCAAACTTGTCACACAGAAGGAAAAACTAAACGTGTAATGGAAACTCGAAGATTAAACTTGTAACAGAGACGCGAAAACCAAGGCCGTCACACAGATGCGAAAAAACTAAACTTATCACAGGGACACAAAAAACTAAACTCGTTGGACAAGCTTGCCACGCAGAAGTGAAAACTAAATGATGACACACAGACGCGAAAGTTAAACCTGACGCACAGGCGAGAAAACTAAGTTTGTCACACAGACGAAAAGAATAAATTTGTCACACAGACGTGAAAACCAATCTTGTCACACAGACACGAAAACTACATTTGTAACACAGACGAGAAAACTAAATTAGTCACACAGGCGTGAAAACTAAAATCTGCCAGACAGGTGCGAAAAACTAAACTTGTAACCCGGACGAGAAAGCTAAACTTGTCACACAGACGAGAAAGCTTAATTTTTCACACAGATGAGAAAACTAAATTCGTCACACAGACGAGAAAACTAAGTTTGTAACACAGAGGAGAGAACAAAATTTGCATACAGACGCGAAAACTAAACTTGTCACACTGACTGGAAAACTAAATTTGTAACACAGATGGGAAAAACTAAACTTGTCACACGGACTTGTCGCACGGACCGGAGACCAAAGTTGACACAGACGCGAAACGCTTTTCACCCACACGGAAAACTAAAGTTGTTACAGAGACGCGAAAACTAAAGCTGTCACAGACGCGAAACCCAAACTTGTAACACAGACAGAAAACTAAACTTGTCATACAGATGCAAAAACTAAATTTGTCACACAGACGGAAAACTTAAGTTGTCACACGGACGGAAAACTTAAGTTGTCACACGGATGTGAAAAACTAAATGTGTCACACAGACGCAAAACCCAAACTTGTCACACAGATGGAAAACAAATTTGTCACACAGATGCGAAAACTAAATTTGTCACACAGACTTTTAACAGACGGAAAACTAAAGTTATAACACAGATGTGAAAGCTAAATTTGTCACACAGACGTGAAAACTAAATTTGCCACACAGACTTGTCACACAGACGGAAAACTAAATTTGTCACACAGACGCGAAAATATGTCACAGACTTACCACACAGACAGGAAACTTAAGTTGTCACACAGACGGAAAACTAAGTTGAAACAGAGATGCGAAAACTAAATTGGTAACACAGATGCGAAAACTAAAGTTGTACACAGATGCAAAAAGTAAATTTGTACACAGACGCCAAAACTAAAGTTGTAACACAGACACGAAAATAAAATAGTAGCACAAACAAAAAAAAATAAAACTAATAACACAAGTGAGAACCAAGCTAAAAGACCAACAATGCCTAGCCCAAAAAACCTGGGAAGGAAAACGAATACAAGGAAAAGAGAAAACACTAACCTCCTGAGCCGCAGGTTGGGGCAGAGGAACCACGTTGTCATTAGCATTCTGTGTATTGTTGTCACCAGCAGCGTCGGCCAGAGCCGGAGGCGCGACAACTGGAGGGTAAACGGCCGCTGCAACAGCCCCATCCGCAGGAACAACAGGGACTTGGTCTGGCATGGAGAACGAAGAACGAAGAAAAGTTTCGAAGATGGCGCAGCAATGACCTGGCAAGAGAAAAAACGCCAAGCTAATGACTGGCGAACGTTTAACTAAAAGAGAATTAAACAGGCCTATTTATACAAAACCTGTGTGAAACAGAACATGTAGGAGACTACGAGCGCAGGGGAATTTTTATCCTTGAATCCCGGCGAGACCTGGGGCGTTTGTACGAGATCGCCCCAGTGAGAATAGATTAAACATACTGTTAACAAAGAAAATTTTTTGTTGCAAACTGGTTATTAAATGTTATTGTCACAGCTCATTGTCAGTCAGTGATCAGAGTCAATGCTCTCACTATCAGTGGAGGCTAGGGCTGGTGGTAGTGAATAAAAAATGTAGGCTTTAGTAATTTCTGAGAATCGCTTATCTGACTTGACTGTTCTGTGCAAAAACCTTTGCCTCTCTCCTCGGGAAACTTACTAATACAACAATTAAAATGTCTTCCTTTGCAATAGTCACATCCATGCTACATACCTGACAACCCCTGGAGTACAAAAATCTGGAGACGTCTAGAAATCTTTGCAATGTCATTTTCGACAATGTCTGAATGCTCTCCGAAATCACCCAAAGGCCTTCGGAATGTTCCCGACGTAGACAACAGTGTGCGAAAACCGCCCCAACTTTCTACCATGTATTGTGCAATTTGATTGGTTGATTTCTGACCAATTACGCTAATCGTTAAATATATATCAATTTGTTTGCTTTGTTTTAGGTTGTTTTACGTTTTCCGATCGAGACCAGCTCAAATAAGAGCACCAAATCCACTTCTTGTTTTATTTTCCTTTTTGATACCTCAAAAATAACGAAATGAATGCAAAAATTTTGAAAAAGGCCGTGTGGTAGGTATTTCCCGGGAGATTTGGTGCTCTAACCGGGAGACCAGGAGATGTCATGAAAAACTTGGAGACTCCCGGGAAAACCAGGAGAGTTGGCAGGCATGATGCCATCAAGGTTGACTCTCGAGAACACGTTTTGCATTTTCCATTCTGGCTAACTTTCGTTTGATACCTTTCCTTTTCCTTTTAGTCCGGGAAACGCATTGAAAAAAGCAAGTCAAGTGGTACAAAGAGCGCTGACGTCAAACAAAAGACAACTACCACAAGTTCACTTACCTCTGTATTTTCACACTTCCAATGGAACATTAACAAAACCTTCTTTAATGGCTTTGATGATCTGGGCTTTGTCTTCAGAATAAAACCCTTTCTGTTGTTTTATAATGTGCCATAAGTTTTTCTTGGCGCTTCTCGCCCCCCATGGCCGTCAAAAATTCCAAAAATCGCCTTTAAACTTGACACAAAATAACACAACAAAAACATATTTTTAAAAGATTAAACATATTGTTAACAAAGGAAGTTTTTGGTGATGGAAACTGGTTATTAAATGTTGTCACAGCTCATTGTCAGTCAGTGATCAGAGTCAATAATGCTCTCAGTATCAGTCGAGGCTAGGGCTGGAGGTACCCTCGTAGGAATAAGTATGTCAAAAGTATACTTTTAGCATATTGCAAGCATACTAATTCTGTACTAACCCAAATGGCAGTACATTTACAGTATACTGTAAACCTACTGCACACTAACAAGTGTTACCATGGTCTATAATTGACATGTACTTCCACAAATTGACCCAAAAAAGTACAATTCCAGTATACTATTAGTGTGCTACAGTCGACTACGTACTTAAATTGCGTCATGTGAGCACAAGAATAAGTCTACTGGAAATGTACTTGATCAAATCGGTCCAAAGAAAAACAAAATTCCATTATACTGCTTTTGTACTCTCTGGGTAACTTTTGTACTGCATGATTATTACAGCACAAGAACAATACATACGAGGAAGAGTTTCATCTATAGTGCCATTCTCATATAATATGGAAATGTCTTTATTGCAACCTTGGGAAGATTATGTTGTTGATTGAGTAACAAGAATATCATAAATGGAACAGCTGGCAACAACAATGGAGCTATGTGGTTTGAAAAAATGAAAAAGATTACTGAAGGGCACTATAATCTTTTCCTTTATTTTATTTCTTCTAAGAGATGGATAATGTGGTACAACCTTTGACAATAAAGGCTTCTGATACTGCATCATCAGTGAATTATAAAGTTCTGACAATTATTATTTTGCTTTTATTATCTTTATGGTATGCAACAGGGGCCACTGGGTGCTGCTAGAGCACAACCCTTTGCAATGTTCAAGAAAGGATTCAAGAGAGAAAAATAAAAAACAGTAGCAACGTAAACAATTTATCTTTGTTTTGTAAATTCATAATTAATTTCATAGCAATTTTAACACTCTTCTACACGACATTTGGACCTCAATGAATGTCCCAGTCAAAACCCTGAAATCCTTACATCAACAAATTTTAAAGTGTCATCACAAAAGTAAAGCTGAATAACTGTTAACTAAATACAATTACAATAGTTTACTCTCCTACTTAAGGTCTCAAAAGTTATGAACATCCAAACCAAGGGGGAGGGCAGTGAGGACTCCATACTTGTCATGAATTTTGAATGAAACCTCAAAGGCAGCCAATTTGAGTATGGTACAGCTTTAGTTGATCCTTTGGGATACTCACCAACAGAGTACTAACTATGCAATGGAATCAATGGCCTTCACTTTCACCCTTGACTTTTGCTTTATACTTTAAAATTTTCTTTGTGTTATGAGTTCATTTGACTACTTAAGGTGGATGAACTGAATTGAAAGGGGCATACAAGAACCTCCACCGTTATCGATTACAGGACTAAGGGGGATGCTGAGTTAATAAACCGACCATTTGACTTTTTGGGGGGTGGGGTTGGGTGATTTAAAAAAATACATCTATATATATCATGCAAACAGACCTGGAACAAAAACATATTGCACTGAGTTAATAGTCAAGTCATGCAAAAAATAATAAAAAAAACTTGGTCACAGTAGTGGGCTGGAAAAATTTCTTGCTCAAACCAAATCAACTGATCACCCATCCGCACTCCTCAAAAGTTAATGGTCTCCAAAGCAGGTGGTGCATTTCATTGTATAAACTCTTAGTCTTTCTCAAAAGCATTTGGAAAATTGCACACAAATAATGTGTCCATGCCACAGTCCACAGTTAAGCACAAAGAATTCAGATTTTCAATCTGTACTCCGACAATCCTACCACTATCCTTATGACTTGCTTTCGCATTGGTACACCTGTCAGCTGATAATCTAACATTGCCTGCTGTTTTAAGCTCATGAATAAGGGCCAGATACTTAGGTGTCTCGCACAAACAAGCTGAATTACAAAACACAGGGTTTCTGCATTTCATAAAACACTTATGGAAGTTAAAACCCATCCATGTCTTAAATTGGCGCTGTTAACACCGCCATGGAAGGAAACTGTGTAACTATTTCGCCTTGTTACTACTTTGTAATCCTGTGAGTGGATCATAGTTCCACGATGAACAAGTCGCTTGAAGACAAACACCCTCTCAACCTCCCCCACAGCTGTCAGGAGAGCTCTTCTTTTATCACCATCCACTGTAGTCAAAGTTTGTTTCCCAACTGCATAGCTTTGGGGGGATATTATTTCCCTTCTGTTGTCTAACAACTGTGGCCTTGCATTGACAAGGTGATTGTAAAAATCATGTTGAGACGACCTGAACTCTAAAAAGGGGATACGCTGTGGTATTTTCTGCTGGAAACAAATAGAAAAACTAATCTGAAATTTTTACATTTTGAGTTCCATGAAAGAGCTTTCTAAGATCGCCATTGTAGTCTTCATAACAAAAACATGAAGATGCCCAAAGTGGCCCTAAGTTTTCATCACAAGAAACAAGATGAAGCAAACAGTCAACATTGAAAGTCTCATACCTCCTTCCATACAATGACTGAACCCTAAGACAGAAATGGTTCAACAAACTAGCAGATTTCCTAAGTTGAGCAAGGGATATTGAATCCTGAAAAAGCAAGAACACTACATGTACGAGCAATAAAAAGTGCTAGAAGTATTCATTAGGAAGTAAGCCCCAAAGGCATGGCAAGCCATAAAGTAACATGAATGACCGCAGTTCAGATGCCTTAAGGTGAGCCATATTAGCTATTATGCTTCTGGGTGTTCGGGTAATTCTGTATGGAGGTTTCATGCTCATAAACCGCTTTTCAAAGACTTTGATCTTGTCTGCCCCTAAAAACCATGGCTCAGAGTTGTAGGACTTATCAGTCCACAGTGTGAGTAGCACTTTAACCACACCTAATAGAACACTGTGCATGTAGTCAATGGCAGTTCCGGAAATGACATCAAATATTGGAAGGTACATAGACCAAGACAGGCCCTTCACTCCCTTAGTGACCACTGTGTTAGACTTGCCTTGCTTCTTCAGCCTCTCAGCTTCAATTGCTAAGCAGACAGTCTCTTTATGGGTTCTCTGCTTTGTTTTCGCATTGGTTTCCGTATCACAGGTGCAGACATGACTATATCCAGCCATATTGAAACTCATCTTTATAGTGGTACAAGGATGCAAACAGTACGGACAACCAAAATAACCATTAAACTGCACAACATTGTGAAAAAGACACTTGGCAGGAGCATCAAAAGTGCCACTAAGCAGAATGCATTTGACTGTTTTGGTTTCCCCAGTTGGCAACTTAGTCCTTGAAAAACAAATAATTTTGTCTGATCAAGGAGTCAGGAAGTGAGAGTTTAACTATGTAATAAATTGTTTGATTTTCAGAAAATTGCAGTCTATGACTTAATTATAACGTAATAAAAATCTTTGAAAAATTCATTAATAATTCATAAAAGTTATGACCAATCTGTGGTAGTATTTGAGTCACATGTCACCTCTGTAATCCCCAAAACAAATCAACTTCTGTATTAACTTTCATACAGATCTCTACTGATTAACATGACAAACACAATCTATTGTTTCATTTCACAAAATAAAATATTCACATCTGACCTTTATGGGTATAAAACGGCTCGCCGCCCATAAAGGTCTCATGCTCATAATTTATTTTATCTATTACATAAACCCAGGGTACCTTTTTCAAAGATCTCCTTCAGTGTACTCCCAAAAGGCTCCAGGAAAGGCCCGAAAGCCAGGTTTGGAGGCTTCAAACAAAAGCCCAACAAAAATTTATTTTTACGGCTAAACCTGAGGAATAAAACCAAAATATATATGGTATAATATTTTACTATTGCATTTATTTATTAAAATTTTCAGATGAAAGTCAGATTGTGCTTGGTAGAAACAACTGTGCTTACATGTGGCGAAAAGACGACAAAAAGTACACTTTGCATCTTATTTGTTCTCCCTCTGAAGAGAAGATAAGTTTGATGATGTGGGGGTGTATTTGTTATGATAGTGTTGGAAGTCAAACTGCAGTTGAAGGCAACATTAACGTGTACAAGTGCATTGACATCCTAGACAAGAACTTATGGCCAGTAGTTGTCTGGTATTTTAAAGGAAAAGAATACTTGTTCTTGAAAGACAATGTGCCTGTTCACAGAGAACAGACTATAGAAAATTATAAAGACCAAAATGAAGTAACCTCAATGGAATAGCGAGTACAATTACCAGATTTAAATATCATAGAAAATATCTGGCTCTACATGAGGATAGCTACAAAAGTCTGCAGTAAACATCTCTATCAAAAATGATATTCTGCGTCAAAATCCAGAGCGCGTGGCAGAACATCAAATTGGATAATATAAGAAACCTTTATCAGTCCATACCTGAACGCCTAGACAATGTAATTAAAATGAAGTGTTAAATCAGTAAATATTAAGGTGATTTTAAAGTTAGATTTGCCAAAAACGATGTTAAAACAAGCTTTCATAAAATGTAAGCAAACACCACCATATTGAAAGTAACGAATACTTTTATCCCTAGACTTTGCATACTTCATTCTCATGCTGGTGCTCAAAAAGATAGTCCGTTTCTGAAAACAGATGTATTCAAGATGTCGTTTGTATTCTGGAGGATTTTAGAAGCAAACAATGAGGAACAAATAAACACACGTGCGTATACCAAGAAAATACGTGACAACTGTTTATTTCACCTTCTTACATCATCTTACATCATGTGACCAATACTACCCAAAATAGCACACTTCCTCCTTCCTACCCGGTTTTCATGACAATCAACACAACTTACAAAGAAAAACTATAAGTCTAATCCGTCTGGACGATTGATCACCCGTCCTGAACGCATAACCACCTGACATTTTCTGGACTCAAAGTGACTAGGCATGACAGGTTTGGTAACCACTCGGTCTGGACTGCGAAGTCCAGAGTTGTTACCACTCTCTACGTTACTATCATCATCAACAACAGGTACAGCAATAGCACTAGACTTAGGAGAAATCTCATTGTCTACTTCAGACTGAATTCATAACCTTGCCTTGGGAACGACAGGTTCCCTCTGAAAATCTAAGGGTGGATTATGCTCTACCATTTCTGGTGTGACAATTTCCTTATTTGCACTCATGCCTCTGGCATGATCATGTATCAAGTGATTAGCATGCACATAGCGGCGATCATTACCCGGAACTCAAACTAGGTAGGTTTCTGGACCCTTCACAGCCACAATTGTACCCGGTATCCATTTCTCCTTCCCTCCCCTGGTGTGTTTTACTCTAACTGGATGATACAGATCAAAACTTTGCCCCTTGGGGTGCAGCCCATTCCTGTATAATTTTGAAGCAACTTGTTTCTTTTCTACCTGCCTTTGTAAACTGGGTTTCACCAATGAGAGGTGTGTCCTGGGTTCTCTCTTCAAAAACAGTTATGCAGGAGTCTTGTCTGTTGTGGTGTGGGGTGTGTTTCTGTAGCGGAAGAGGACATTAGCCACCCTGTGCTGAACTAACTCCTTATCAGTACAAGACTGATACATGGCCTTAAAGGTCTGCACATGTCTCTCAGCTAAACCATTAGTGGAGGGACGATATCGGGGACATCAAGTGTGCTTGAAGCAATTCATCTTTAAAAATGACTTGAAACTCTCCAGCAACAAATTGTGGGCCATTGTCGCTGACTAATTCATGTGAAAATTGCCCAATTATATATCTGAGACAAAGTTATTGTTCCCTTGCTTTTTAGAGATGATGTTATAGAACTATTTCAAAACAGGCTTCTCTCGGTGATGCGAAGCCAACAGTGTAATTGAAATCCTAGCCCGCGTACAGGCGTTAGTGTGTTTTGCGAGCGAGTTTTTAAGCCGCGCCATGCTCCTCCTTTCCCCTCCTACCCAG